TGCAGGCGTAGGGTCGCACCGCATTCCCCCAGGAGGTGCTACCACGACTGCGCTGCTATGCTGCGTGATCCCGGTGGCGTTTACCCGGCCGGAGCACCGGTGACTTTTTGGAGGCCGCTGATGCAAGTCATGCTGCTCCGAGCTGCCGTGCTATGGATGCAACACAATGGAAGCGAATAGGGATGCAAAGGCATGCGCGCGCTGTTCGCCTCAGCGCTGGAGGAAACCGCGCAGTGAGAACAACATATGATTTACGCGTTTGCCGTGCAATTCGACACGTTGGGCTACTCACCAGCTAACCTACTCATGGCTCCGAGTTTCTTAAATGTGTGGCGATGGCAACTAACCCAGGGAGAGTTTACAGGGACGGAAGTGGCTGATTTTCCACACTGAGCGGAGGAAGAGGAGAGGGAGAGGGAGGGGAAGGGAATGGGCACTTCAAGTGGGCGAGCCAGCACAGACCAGCACGGGCATGCGCCGGGGGGGGGCCGCCCGACCTTCCATATCTCCAACTGGACGGAAGAAGCCAGAAGGGGCAGGCAACGGCAGAACCCACCAAAAAGATGCTCCTTGATGGGGAGGGGTGGGAAGGCATGGGAGGCGAACGGGACAAGGAGGCGACAGGACGTGGGGACAGGGGCGCCGGATGGGAGGGGGAGAGGGGTGATGGGGGAGGTAGTGAGGGACGGGGTGGACCCGATGAGGTGAGGTCGTGGGGGCGCGGTACGAGCAGGGGGTGAGGGGGAGGTCATGGTCGACGTACAAGTGGACGTAAACGTGAACGTGGATGTGGCCATGTGCAAGTAGAGGTACCAGCACGAGACCATGACAGAAGGGTGTGGAAATTGAAGCAGAAGCCATCATCCCTTCGCCTCTGCATCGCCGGCTGTCTAACTGAGACTTGCAGTCTGGCAGTTGGCCGCCCTAGACCGCCACTCACATATCCTTATTCCCCTCCCTCTCTTCCTCGTCTCCTCCGCCCCCTCTATCCCCCCCCCCCCCCTCCTCACCCTGCACCTCCTGTTCCTCCTCCTGTTCCTCCTCCTGTTCCTCCTGCTCCTCCTCATGTTCCTCATGTTCCTCCTGCTCCTCCTGCTCCTCCTCCTCCGCCTCCTCCTCCTCTTCCTTGTCTCCTCCTTGTCTCCTCCTTGCCTCCTCCTTGCCTCCTCCTTGCCTCCTACTTGCCTCCTCCTTGCCTCCTCCTTGCCTCCTCCTTGCCTCCTCCTCCTCCTTGCCTCCTTGCCTCCTTGCCTCCTTGCCTCCTTGCCTCCTTGCCTCCTTGCCTATTCCTCCTCCTCCTCCTCCTCCTCCTCCTCCTCCTCCTCCTCCTCCTCCTCCTCCTGCTCCTGCTCCTCCGACCCGGTAGTGCAGCGCCACGCCGCCACGCCCAGCGCCCTGCCCGCGCCGCCCGGCTGGCCTAGCCGACCAGCTCGGCCGCCAGCGCGGCGCGCACCGCCAGCTCGCGCTCCTGGCCGAGCGCGCTGCGGAGCTGCCGCGCTGTGGCGCGGTGCAGCGCGCAGCTCAGTTCCGCGCCCCAGCGGCGGGCCAGCGCGCTCGCGGCCGCTTCGGCCTCGGGGCCGTCGCCCAGCGCCTGCGCCTGGTCCCGGGCGAGCCAGCGCAAGTGGCGCAGGGCGGCCCAGCCCAGCCTCCTCCTTCTCCACCTCCTCCTCCTCCTCCTCCTCCTCCGCCTCTTCCTCCTCCCCCTCCTCCTGTCGATCCCGTCGGTCCGTGCGCAACAGAGTCCCTCCAGGCGGAAGAGCACGGTGGCGGGAGACGACGAGCGACGCGAAAAGAGGCCAAAGCCGAGCAAACGAGCGATCACTCGCCGCTAAATCCCCAACCTATGGTGGAGGGGCCGGGGCCGACCCACGAAGGATTTGGTGGACGGGCCCTTCCCCTCCCTGAGCTGCTTCAGCGTCTGCGTCGCTGGCTTGTTGGGGGGCGCACGGGGGCACTCTCCGACCAACAGGCGCAGGTTCACCGAGCCGAAGGCTGAACATTCTCTGCGCCAGACAACACGCCCACCGTTGATCCAGAACTTATGGCTGGGGTGGGCGAATCTGGCCAAACTCGGGGTGCCCGTGCAAGGCAATACGCGCGCAGCAGATTCCGAACATTCCGATGTACCACACTTAGCACATTTATAGCTGTCCCTCCCCTTCTTGCCCGTCCTTTGGAGGGCGTGCCCGCTGCGATCACAAACAAACTGTAGTGGGTCGCGCTGGGGGCAGGGGGGGGGGGGCTGACACTTCTGAGCATCGGAGAAAGTCTGCCAACTGAGCACTTCCCCGAAACAGGCTATAACGTTGCTTAAATCTGCAACATCAGAACTCATTTGTTTCTGAAGCTCGCGGAGGCGAGGATTGCAAGGGTGCTCCAGGGCTCCGCGTTTAGCAAGACCATCGGCAAGACCATTACCGACCCAGGCCCTACGGGGGACTTCCGAGGCCAAAAGGAATATACTCCAAGATGTGTGGCTCTAAATTCTATGCAGGAGGATCACGCCTAGACCTATGCCAAGAACGCGCCCCCCGGACAAGTCCCCAAACTTTCGAGAGCGCCGCGTCAGATAGGTCAGCCCCGGGCCCTCGGGCCCATGCGTCCAGCACTGCCAGAGAGTGCGAGTAGATCAGGATCTCCTGGGATTGCCCACGCAACTTCAGGGGCATTGGTACTGCATATAGCTCGCCTGCACCAGCTTCCTGCGCAGGGCGCGGGAGGGGCCCAGATGCACTTCCTGGCGCCTGGCTGCTCTCGCCCATGGGCGCCGCTGCCCAGCCCGCGCGAGCAGCGCGCATACAATTGCCGTCGACGCAGATCCTGGGCCCGATGAAACCCGAACTACGCCTTTGCTCCCACCGCAGAAGCTCAGCAGTGGAATACTTCGGCCAGTCGCATCCTGGGTCGGCCGCCAGAGCGCTGGTCGACGGGAAGCCGTAGGCACCAACCTGCCTGCCTAGCTCCACACACTGCGGCAGGCCCATGTCCCGCCATAAAACATGGACGCCGTCGCGCTGGAAGAAGCGATGCTTCGGCGCGCCGCCATGCTGGCCGCGGACACTGTACAGCGACAAGATGACGCGCCGGCATGAAACGGCACTTCCTGGGCGGGGTGGCCTCCTGCAGCTACAGCACACAGGAATGAGGCGGCAGCGTTTCTCCCAGCTGTCCGAAGGTCTCTGCGAGCGCCCACAATGGGCCCCAAGAGCGCAGGAACAACCCGTCCAGGAATCTCCGGGCCCCAGACCCCAACGTGTTCCAGGAGCCTCATCTGTGAAGAGTAGTTAATCAGCTTTGTCAGCATACGCCTGCCAAAGAAGCGGAGGTCCAAGGGAAAACCACGGCATGTGTTCCAAGTGTCCCAACTCTTGACACGCCAACCCAACCGATCCAGAGTAGCACGAACCGCTCCAGCTGGTCCCCGGACCCTGCCCCAAGACCTGGAGGCAGGAGTAGGGCGCGCATTGGCGCAAGCTTTCATGATGCGTTGGGGGGCCATCTCTGCTTGGCCGCCTGTGGCCACATAGTCAGCGGGAGGAGATTCGCCCGGCATAGAAGGCCCACGCTAGCCGAAGGGCCCAGGGGGAACTGATGCCAAACGCGGCCTGGCCCATGACCGATCTCAACTTCACAATAAAGCTAGACATGCTCATGCCTATGATCGAAGTGCCGTAAACCTCTGCTGGGAGACCTCCTGCCTCGACCGCCTTGCACGTGCCGGAATACCCTGAGCGCGAGCCTCTAAATGTCTAAATGGGTGAACTTGGGGGCTTGAGCTCTCCCGTCGCATCGCTTGGACATGAGTTCGTCGCCGGGCAGCCGCGCGTAGTCCACCCCGAGGTTCCGAGTGACCTTGACAACTTGGAATTTCCATCGCATCAGCCCGGTGCCCACTCGAATCTCGGCGCCCCGAGAAGAGGCCGTGATCAAACCTTTCGTGGGGGAGATGAGGGGGCCGAGCCGCCCGACCTTGTCGCGTGAGAAATAAATCGCATCGGCCGCCGTTCTCGCCGCCGCTCTAACCTCCCCCGTCGCTCCGATCGCGACGTCGCCGACGACGCTGCATAATCGAACCGAAGGAAATCGAGCGAAGACCTGATCAAAAGGGTCGAAGAGGAGGCGTTGCAGCGACGCGGCGTCGAACGCGCAGCCCACGAGGATCGCCTGCAGGCAAGAGACAAACTCGGAGCATGCGCGGCCAACCTGCAAGACCCTCTGGCCCCTGTGCAAGCAGAGGAGGTAGCGCGGGCGATGGAGGGGGAAGCCGTGCCCAATGGCCGCCAGGGCGAAACAGAAATGGGCGATCTTCTCGCAGCACTTGGTCATGTCGACCAGCGCAGAGGCAGCGCAGTGACCAGCAATGAAGGCGTGCTCCATCCTTATAGCCTGCTCCCAGACCGCTCTCTCACGGGCTGGGCCCTGCCGCGGGCGGGCCCTCTCACAGCTGTCAACTTGCGCCCTGGAATACTTGCCGAAACGCCGAGCATTCCCAGACAAAACTCCGATCGGTCGAACACCGCCCTCATCGCCCTTGGGAATCATGGCCAGGATGGCTGCCAAGACCTCGGGAAGCCTTCCAAGGGACTGCATCCAGAACCAAAGGCCTGCCACGCGCTCCAGAGCCGCGTCGCCGAGGATCCCGAAGTCCCCGGGGCGGGCCCTGTCCGCGCCGATCGCCGCCCTGACCTCGGGTCTGATCAGGCGCGGCCAACTCCATGGGCTCCTCTGCGAACTCGGAGATCTTGCTGGACAGGAGGCCCATGGGATCTAGGAGGTCCTGGAAACTACGCGTCGGGGGCCAAATGCCAGCCCGCTCGTCCATGAGATCGTCGATGCGCCCCACGGTCCCTTTGCGAGGCCCTCCTTTGCCGTTCGAAAGAGCCCGGCCCACGGGAACTTTGGTGAACTCGTGGGCCAGTCCAGCCCCAGTCCCCAGACTCGTTTTAACCCAAGAGCGCCGGGCCTTGCATCGATCCGATTGAAACTGATTCTCAAGGTGCTCTGCGTGGCGCTTGGCCCTGGTGCATAGTTGCACCAGACCGACGAAATCGAGGCTCGCCAGGTCGCCATCCGACACGGCCGCGGCCTGCCAAACAGGGCCAGCACGCAGCACAGCTGGCCCATGGAGGGCGCGAAGAAAAACAGAGCTAGCACCAGGTCGGTCCAAGGGCACTTGCTTCCTGACAAGATATTTGAATCCCTGGATGTGAATGGGCCAATTCCTCCAAGCTCTGCCCTTGCCAGAGGAGACAGGATAAGCCCCGCCCGTGACAGGGGCAGCTGGGTAGATTATGGTTTTCCCTCCTTTGGCCCGACCTCAATACTTGGAAGCTTCGCTCATGTCTACGCCGTGAATGCCGATCATCTCATCCTAGAAAAGCCGGCAAAACATAGCGCAACTCCTACCCGGAGCTGCCCGGTCGCCGCGCGCCCCGAGCTGGGCAAGGCAAGCGAACCAATCTGGCGGGCGCGGGCGCGGACAGGAAGGCACTTCACGAGGGCGCGCATTGGAGCCAACTATGATCCTTGTCTTGAGCTTGTTCTCGGGGCGCCAGAGCGCTCCGGGGCGGCGTGCCAGCGCGGGGGGGGCCGCCTGTCGCGTCGAGCGAGATGGCGTCGAGCAAGGGGCCGATCGATTTCGATGCGATGAAATAATCGGCGGTGGCCCAGGAAGTCCTACATGCGCAACGCGCGGGTTCAGCCGCGCGGAAGACGGCGCCCCCTATCTTGCCCACCCAACCCGTGTCCGCCAACGACTTCGGCGAAGTGTCAAGGCCCCCGCCTTTCACGAAACGAAGGGCAACTGCCAGCCATGAAGAGCCTCTCCGAGCCTGTCAAGGATCCATAAACTGTCGAGGCCCAAAGGATCGTCGCAATCGAGGTAGAGGGAGAACACCGTTATACCACCTGTGACAAACAGATCTAGCCATGCTCAACAGATGCGGCGCTGCTGAGGAAAGCGGCGGACGAGCGGCAAGGACCCCGTCGCGATGACTGCTCTCCCTGCCCCGCAACTGAGCCCGCCCTTGCCCGTGGCCCTGCAAGGGTGAATGAGAGCGCCCCAGCCTAGCTGGCGAAGCTGAGGGCTACTCTCGCGATTGTCATCGCCGCACGCGAAGTCCTGCAGCAGCGCGACAACCTGGCCGACAGCCTCCGATTCCAATGACGTCTTGAGCGATTTCCAGGAAGAAGAAGTGCAAGCGCCGATGGATACGCGCCGCCTCGCAGGCTTCGACGGACGAATAGAGCCCCATCTTTGTCAGGATTGCGCTGGGCCACCCCAGGGCCCCCAGCGCCCCCCGCTGGAATATCGCGGAGGCTGGAAGGAGACCGGGCCAACGTACCCGAATCTTGCGTCGCTGCATCCTGCGACGTCTCAATCCTGAAACAAGCTTCCGATGTAGAAACCGATGCCCTAAGCGACGTGCCCATCGAATCCGAAAGTGGCACGTGATTGGGGCGAGGGGAAGCAGAGGCCGTCGCCGTGGATCGCGAAGCCCCTATCGAGAAGGCAATAGACCCACTCGCGGCAGAACGTCGGGAGACGAGCCGGTCCCCGAACACGCGGCGCTCTGTGCCCGCCATCCCCCCTCCGATTCACGCCCCGGGGGCCCCTCTCGGCGGCCCCGGCGCCTCGGGGGCACTGGCCTACCAAGGATTTCGTCCGAGGGGGCGCCCCAGAGGTCTCATGGCAGGTGAGTCTAGCGGACAAGGAGGAGTAGCCTAAATCGCTGTCCAGCATGTCATCGTCCAGGGTGTGGCCTCCATGCTAAAGAGGCCTTGATACCGCACCTGACCGTGCCATGCTGGCAGCCTGCTGAAACCGCTTCTCGAGGTCCTCCTTGTCGACGTCAACTGGGGCATCCACGGCGCCGGAACTCGCCATCGCCGCAGCCGCTGCCTCCGAACGCTGGGTCGGAGCCTGAGGCGCTGGCGGCTCATCTCACCTGCGCGACCCTCAGCGGCCGCAGCCTTGGGCCCCATCGATGCACCAGGGCCTGCTCGGCTCCTTCGTCGTCAGCACGGTGCCGCCTCGCAGCCATGCGCTGGTGGAAGGCCCGCTGCTCCGCCAGCAGTTCCTGCGCGCGCGTGCGCACGGAGCCGAAGGCGTCGGCGACCGCCTTCTTGATGGTCTGCTCAACTTCCTGCTTCCTCTTGGCGACCTTCTTCTCAGCTGCCGAGATCTCGATCCCCCCGGCCCCCAGGCCGAAGAGGCTGTCGTCCTCGAAGATCTCGAATCTCTCGCCGTCCAGAAGCTTGTCGAGGCTGAGCCCATGACGGGGCCCATGCACAGGCCCCTGCCGCACCTGCGCAGGCACCTCCGACGCCAGCGGGGTCACCGCCTCATGGTACCGAGCCTGGCAGGCTTGGAAATCGACCATCGCCTGGACAGCCTGCTCCTGGGCCTGTGCCAACTGGCTCTGGAGGGCCTCCGCCGCCTTGACGCGCTTCTCAAAGTGCTGCTTGGCCTCGCGCGTGGCGTGCTGGGCCGCCCCGACAGTTGGCTGCCGTGGGCCCACCTTCTGCAATTTTGTGATGTAGCTCTCATACACCTTCGCCTGCTCAGTGTCCCCGAGGCTCTCGACCGTCTGCTGCAAGCCCTGCAGCTTGGGGGAGTCGTCGGCAGAGTATTTCGTCCAACCCCCGTCATGGGGCCAGTCTGGAGCCAGTCCGAAGCCTGAAGTTGGAGCCCCGCAGGTAGTACCTGTTGCAGCACTGGCGGCGGCACGCCTGACCCCTGTGGGCCAACTTGCTTGGGCCCATCAGCTCCGAGCCATTTGCCCTTGCCACCTCTTCCCTTCTTGCCTTTGCCTTTGCCTCCCTTGGCGGCCTCGCCGTAGGAGGGGAGGGACTCGACCGCAAGTAAGGACGCCCAAACAACTCCAGCTGGGGCTGGGGCAGATGGTTGCATGAACGCGAGGGGCTAGAGGCAACGCTTGCAGAACCAGTGGTGGGCCATGCTCTTCTTGCATCCGCAGTGCGGGCATGGAGCCTTCGGCAGCTCTGTGCCCCCACTCGTCTTGTGGTTTCCCACCCAGGTCCACTGCCGAGGGTCCCCCTTGTCATCACGCATACTAGGCTGGCCGCGATGAGAAGAGCCCATCGGAAGAACGTGGGAGGTTGCGTACGAGGGAAATCGTGCATGTAGTGCTCTTGCAGGAACTCACCAAAAAAACATGGGGCCAGCAAGTGGCCGCAGGGTCACTGGCGGGGGCGCGCCTCCCCCACGCCACAAAGGCCTCAGTCTGAGCGAAACGCTACGGACTTGAGCCAAAATGGCTACGGACCTCCTCCTCCTCCTCCTCCTCCTCTTACTCGTCCTCCTCCGCCTCCTCCGCCTCCTCCTCCTCCTCCTCCTCCTCCTCCTCCTCCTCCTTACCTCCTCCGCCTCCTCCTTGTCTCCTCCGCCTCCTCCTGGCCCCCGCCCTCCTCAAGGCGGCGCCTTGGCTCCCGTTGGAGCCGGTGCTGCTCCGCCTGGTGACCACCGGCGGCGGGCCCTCGGGCTCGGGGTCCCCGGTGGCCGCGCGGAAGACGCGCCAGTCCCCGAAAGAGCCGATGTCTACCCTGCGGATGTCCCCGAAAGGACGACGACGACGACGACGACGACGACGACGACGACGACGACGACGACGGCGACGGAGATGACGACGACGACGACAAAGACGACGACGACAACGACGACGACGACGACGACGACGACGACGGCGGCGACGACGACGACGACGACGACGGCGGCGGCGACGACGACGACGGCGGCGGCGGCGGCGGCGGCGGTGGCGGCGGCGACGGAGACGGCATTCCCCGAAGGAGCCGATGTCCACTTTGCGGTGCCGGGCGTCGTCGCCATCTCTGGAGGCCTCTCGACCCGACGGGACATTGTTCAATATTTTCGGCCTCCAGGGGCCTGGCCCCAGGGACCGTCAAAAAACGACTCCAGATGAAAAACCGGTCCTTGGGAAGGAGTCCAGACCTCTGGTGGTCAACGTTGTGAAAAGTCACGACGTCGGGGGCCTGGGTCTCGAGTGGGGTCGGAGAATCCGAACTGTTTTGGAGCAGCAGCTGTTTGGGATCAGGTGGTGCTTCTCGCGCGCTATAGGCCCCCTTTCGAGGGCCCGCCGGAAGCTCCAGCGGGGCCTGCCTAGGGCCTAGAGATCAGCAGATCGCCCCTCACCGCAGTGGGGTCGGAGGACCGCGCCGCGTCGCAGATACATCGGGGGCGCATCGCCGACGTCGGTGATGCATCGGTGTCGATGATGTGGAAGACCCAGACCCCCGACGTCGTGATTTTGTTCGCAACGTCGACCCCCAGAGGTCTGGACCCCTTCCCCGGGACAAATTTTTCATCCCGAGTCGTTTTTTGACGGTCCCGGGGGCCGGTGAGGGCCCGCGGAGATCGAAAATAGTGAAAAACCTCCCGTCGTGATGCTTTTTCAGAACCCGAGGGAGTCTGGGATTGAGCCGCATCGCCGATACATCGGCGATGCAGCGCGACCCTCCGATCCTATCTGCTCGGACCTCTGCGGGGAGGCCTGGAATCGGGGGCCGACGCAGGCGCTTTCCGCCGCCGTCGTCGCCGGGGGGGGGGGGCGGCGACGCCGAAGGGTGTGGCTTACAAAGCAAAGTGTGTGGTGCATGCTGCTCCCACCGTACTTAAGGACCACATCCCAAAAATCCGCCGGCCCCCTTGTGGGGCCACCAGGCTGTAGGCCCGTGATTCGCAGTTTCCTGTACCAGTTGTAGCTTGTAGTTTCCAATGTTGCAGGTTTGCTTCTTGCTGGTTACTGTAACTAGTTGATTGACCGCGCGAGGGGGGGGGAGGCCCAAACGGGATTTTTAGCGTCCCCTGGGCGCGTTGTCTGAATTGCTGGGGGGGGGGGTCGACATCGACACCCCTCACGCAGATCCGCGGGGTCAGGGTCCCAAAACACGAGGGATTTGCCACATTTCTGAAATTCGGTGCCACCCCTCACGCAGATCCGCGGGGTCAGGGTCCAATTAGCCTGGCGAAGGACCCAACCATATGCAGCTGCGATTACCGCAAGGATACCAGTGTCAAGCTCCCCCCGACCTTCGGTGGAGATCCCTATGGGGCCACGAAACGTGTGATGGGGGGGTGTGCCGAAATGGGTGTTGGGGAGTGCCGAAATGGGTGGTGGGGAGGCATGCGAACGCAGCCACTGGGGCCTTCGGTGGAGCTCCCTATGGGGCCACGAAACGTGTGAGGGGTGTGCCGAAATGGGTGGTGGGGAGGCATGCGAACGCAGCCACTGGGGCCTTCGGTGGAGCTCCCTATGGGGCCACGAAACGTGTGAGGGGTGTGCCGAAATGGGTGGTGGGGAGGCATGCGAACGCAGCCACTGGGGCCTTCGGTGGAGCTCCCTATGGGGCCACGAAACGTGTGAGGGGTGTGCCGAAATGGGTGGTGGGGAGGCATGCGAACCCTGCCACTGGGGCCTTCGGTGGAGCTCCCTATGGGGCCACGAAACGTGTGAGGGGTGTGCCGAAATGGTGGTGGGGAGGCATGCGAACGCAGCCACTGGGGCCTTCGGTGGAGCTCCCTATGGGGCCACGAAACGTGTGAGGGGTGTGCCGAAATGGGTGGTGGGGAGGCATGCGAACGCAGCCACTGGGGCCTTCGGTGGAGCTCCCTATGGGGCCACGAAACGTGTGAGGGGTGTGCCGAAATGGGTGGTGGGGAGGCATGCGAACGCAGCCACTGGGGCCTTCGGTGGAGCTCCCTATGGGGCCACGAAACGTGTGAGGGGTGTGCCGAAATGGGTGGTGGGGAGGCATGCGAACGCAGCCACTGGGGCCTTCGGTGGAGCTCCCTATGGGGCCACGAAACGTGTGAGGGGGCCCTATGGCTCCCTATGGCCACGAAAGGTGTGCCGAAATGGTGCATGCGAAGGCCTTCGGTGTGGGGCCACGAAAGGGTGTGCCGGTGGGTGGGAGGCATGCGAACGCAGCCACTGGGCCTTCGGTGGAGCTCCCTATGGGGCCACGAAACGTGTGAGGGGTGTGCCGAAATGGTGGTGGGGAGGCATGCGAACCCTGCCACTGGGGCCTTCGGTGGAGCTCCCTATGGGGCCACGAAACGTGTGAGGGGTGTGCCGAATGGGTGGGGGGGCATGCGAACGCAGCCACTGGGGCCTTCGGTGGAGCTCCCTATGGGGCCACGAAACGTGTGAGGGGTGTGCCGAAATGGGTGGGGAGGCATGCGAACGCAGCCACTGGGGCCTTCGGTGGAGCTCCCTATGGGGCCACGAAACGTGTGAGGGGTGTGCCGAAATGGGTGGTGGGGAGGCATGCGAACGCAGCCACTGGGGCCTTCGGTGGAGCTCCCTATGGGGCCACGAAACGTGTGAGGGGTGTGCCGAAATGGGTGGTGGGGAGGCATGCGAACGCAGGAGGGAGGAGGGCGAGGAGAAGGAGGAAGAAGGAACGCGGGGACCGTTTCTTCAAAACGAGGACCCAACACCACAGGATGGCTGGGAAAAACACATGGGATTTGCCACATTTCTGAAATTCGGTGCCACCCCTCACGCAGATCCGCGGGGTCAGGGTCCACAAACATTTGGGATTTGCCACATTTCTGAAATTCGGTGCCACCCCTCACGCAGATCCGCGGGGTCAGGGTCCAAAACATTTGGGATTTGCCACATTTCTGAAATTCGGCACCACCCCTCACGCAGATCCGCGGGGTCAGGGTCCAAAAACACATGGGATTTGCCACATTTCTGAAATTCGGTGCCACCCCTCATACAGATCCGCGGGGTCAGGGTCCCCTCACGCAGATCCGCGGGGTCAGGGTCCAAAAACACAACATTTGACATTTCGCGGTGCCACCCCTACGCAGATCCGCGGGGTCAGGGTCCAAAAACACAGGGGATTTGCCACATTTCTGAAATTCGGTGCCACCCTTCACGCACATCCATCGCAAGGCGTGGTAACCCAAACTGCGAGAACTCCCGCGGCCCTTTAATCGCAAGGTGTGGTAACCAAGCCCGTAAACCATACACGTCTTACCAATCGCCAGGTGTGGTAACCCCTCTTGTGATCAGTTGGTTTTGCTGATTGCGAATCGGCTTCGCATGAAGTTTCGATACTGCTTCACGACAGCGCCAAGACCTCATGACTTAGCTCTTCCATGGCCCATTCTCCGAGAGAGGGGGCCGGCGGCAGGGGGCGAAGCCCTTACGGATAATTTCCAGCACCCAGAGAAGTATCGAAACAGTGTCTGCCCGACACGCTAGCGAAGTCTCGAACGAGTATCGCCTCCCAGGACCCGACACGTGAAAAGCCTTCAGTTTCGGCACTTTCTTGGTGCTCGAACTTTTTTCTGGTGATCAAGGCTGAAGTAGGTTGGAACATCACAAGGTGTGGTTTGCAACCGGCACCCTTGGGGGGTGGGCGAGGACCTCGACAGAGCTCGCCGCCGCGCCCCCAGGAGGCCCAACGAGGACTGTGCAGTGCTCCCCAGGCCCCAACGGTGCCCGTCGCAGACCACACCCCGGCGTAGCCATACCCGTTGCAGTCGCCGCGAGGGGGAGAGGGGGGAGGAGCAAGAGAGGGAGGCGGGGGAAGAAGGGAGAGTGGGGGAAGGGTCCCTATGGGCTGGACGACTGTTCGTCCATCAACTTGCGGGGGTCAAGCCGGGTAAAGCAAGGTGAGCGCAGATAAAGCGAGGCAGACCGAGGCAAGCCTGGGCAAGTCCAGGTAAATAATGCAGAGGTCTCCACGGGAAATCCGGAGCACGTCGCGGCCGCTCCCGCGCCAGGCCAGGGACGGCCGAAGTCGCCGAGCCCTCCACGAGCGGGGGAGGAGGACCCGCGCCTGCTCTAGACGCCTGTCTCGCGTTCCCCCCCCTTCGCCCCTCCCACTCTGCCATCTCCGGGGTGCCCCCAATGATGTCGGGCCGGGCGAAAGGGGGGGTAGCAAAGGGGGGGGTTGAGAGTCAGCTCACGTAGCTGATTTTCCCGGCGCCTCCCGGCGCCGGGAGGCGCCCGTGTATCGAGGAATGGGCCCGGCGGCGGGGCCGAAACCAGCTGCATGCAGCAACTCTCGTACCCCCCCCCCTTTCCCTATCCCCTTCTCGTCCGGCCCGACACTGGGCCCCCGGGGCCGTCCCCAAAGCGACGCGAGACGAAGAGCCGGTCCCGGGGGGAGAGGTCCACCTCCAGGGGGCCCACGCTGCGAAACGAGCGCGGCGTCGGAGTGCTGGCTGGGGAGGAGGGCGAGGAGCATGATCTGTGGTCGTGGCCCAGCCTCCGCGACAGCACCGAAACCCCGCGGGAGGCGTCCGTGCCCCCGCGCAGCCCGATCACGGCTGCCTGAGAGGACGTGTCGCGGCTCGTCTTCGTCGCAGCCCAACAGGAACTCACCGTCCTGCTCGAGCCCACGCTCGTCGTCGAGGTGGCCCAGCGCCACCACAGTGCAGCGGAGGGGGACTCCTCCTCATACCTTGCTCCTCCTCCTCGTTCTCCTCCTCCTCGTTCTCCTCCTCCTCGTTCTCCTCCTCCTCCTCCTCCTCCTCCTCCTCCTCCTCGTTCTCCTCCTCCTCGTTCTCCTCCTCCTCCTCCTCGTTCTCCTCCTCCTCCTCCTCCTCCTCCTCCTCCTCCTCCTCCTCCTCCTCCTCCCTCTCCCTCCTAATTCTGGAGCCTGGCAGGTCCTCGCAAGGGCCGCTTGGGCAGGGCCAGACGCTGCGGGCGCGGCGCCGAGGGAAGCGGTCGGACGCGGGTGGCCTTTCGAGCTGGAGCGCCTGGCTGTCTATGAAACAGTGGCTAATAAGCACCACCACCACCACCATCATCATCATCGCCATCATCACCATCACCACCACCACCACCATCATCATCATCGCCATCATCACCATCACCATTACCGACGCCATCAGAACCAGCATCACCATCATCATCATCATCATCATCATCATCATCATCATCATCATCATCATCATCATCATCATCACCACCACAACCATCACCATTACCGTCGCCATCAGCACCAGCATCATCATCATCACCACCACCATCATCATCAGCATCATCATCATCAGCATCATCATCATCATCGTCATCATCACCAGCAGTATCATCATCATCATCATCATCATCATCATCATCATCATCATCAGCATCATCATCATCATCATCATCATCATCGTCATCATCACCACCATTATCAGCATTATCATCATCATCATCATCATCGGCATCATCACCACCATTATTATCATCATCATCATCATCATCATCATCATCATCGTCATCGCCATCACCATCGTCATCATCATCATCAGCAGCAACAGCAACATAAGCATCATCATCAGCATCATCACCTTCATCATCATCATCAGCAGCATCATAATCAGTATCACCATCATCAGTATCATCATCACCATCACCATCACCATCACCATCACCATCACCATCACAACCATCATCATCATCGTCATCATCATTATTATTGCTATCATCGCATCATCATCGCCGTCACCATCAACATAATCGCGAACATTATCATCAGCATCACCATCAACACCATCATCAACATCGTCGCCATCATCATCTACATATTCATCCTCATCACCGTCATCACCAGCATCACCAACATCATCAACCACATCGTGATCGCCACCATGCTTAACATCACCATTACCGTCATCATCACCATTGCCATCGGTATCACGACCACCATCATCATCACCTCCAGCATCATAGTCATCATCAATATCATCATCATCGTCGTCACCATCATCATCAGCACCAGGACCACCCTCCTCCTCCTCCTCCTCCTCGTCATCATCACTATCGCCTGCAAAGCCATCATCGCCATGATCACCATCATCATCATCAACTTCATCCCTATCTCCATCCCCATCGTCATCATCACCAGCATCATCATCATCATCGTCATCAATGCCATCGTCAGCATCATCATCAGCATCATCATCATCGTCATCGCCATCATCATCATCATCATCATCATCATCATCATCATCATCATCATCAGCATCATCATCATCATCATCGCCATCATCATCATCATCATCATCATCATCATCATCATCATCATCATCATCATCATCATCATCATCATCATCATCATCATCATAATCATCGTCGTCGTCGTCGCTGGCGTTGTCGGCGCCGCCGCTTTCCGCCGCCGCCGCCGTCGTCATCATCATCGCCATCACCATTATCGTCAACATCCGCACACATCCGTCACCCTGGAGCCTCGTTTGGTGGCGCGCACAAGGGGGTAGGGGGAAGGAGGAAGACTTCTTAGAAAGAGGTTGCTGTTTAGAAAGCGCCGGCCCTACGTCTACAGATCGGGCAGGCGCCCTCGGAGAAGCGGGAGTGCTTCTAAGAAGGCTTCCCCCCTCCCCCTACCCCCATCTGCGCGTGGCCGAAAATACGCACACCTCCCTGAAATCCGACGTCGACAAAAAACTGAAACATCGTGAAACATCAGGACTGGAGCCCTGGACGAATCTCTCTGCGCCATTTTTCGAGCCGGGTCGGTCCGTGAGGGCGCGGTGACCCGAATCCGTGCCAAAACAAATCTGTTCTGCGCGTGGCGGACCCCTCCTGTACGACACCCAGATCAGGACGGGCAACATCGCCAGCGTCACCGCGGCCTCCCAGATGTCCTGGCACGGCGCGGGGGGTCAGGAGGCAACAAAAACATACGCAAACACACGCTATCGGGGCCCGCATCGTGGCACGTAGCCGGCCTCCGCCCACGTGATCGCAGCCTTTGCCAGCCTTCCAGGGCCCAGGACGGGAAGGAGCAGCAGAACGAGGAGGAGGAGGAGGAGGAGCGCACGTAGCATAGGAAGAAAGATATCCTCAATCCTCATCTACGCATGGCACGAGGAGGAGGAGGAGGAGGAGGAGGAGGAGGAGGAGGAGGAGGAGGAAAAGGAGAAGGAGGAGAAGGAGGAGGAGGGGCAAAACCACTGTAAACCCCCAAAAACCATCAACGATGTTGGAATCAACCCTCCTTCCGCGCTCCATCTTCACAGGCGCCTGCAAGGGCTCATCCTTTCCATTGAAGGACGTGCCTCGTTGGAAGGCAACCGTTTGAAGGCCCTGAAGCATGCCAAAACATTGTTCTCGGGATTCCAACGCCACGGATCAACCTGAGCGCTGCGTCTTGACGGTCCTGAATCGCGCCAGAACGCCATTCCTGGGTCTTCAGCGCCACGAATCAACCAAACTGTTGCGCCCGCGTAATCCTGATCCCAAAACGCCATTCCTGATACGTTGATCATGGGAATCCGCGAAACCCTTGCAAGTTTCACAAATGAATGTGCGCGGCGCCAGCGCGAAAACCACAATTTGAAAAGGGGCCGCCATCTAGATATGTGAAGTTATTGGGCATAGTTTCAAGCGAATATGCGCGGCGCTTCGGCGAGAGCCACATTTTGAAAACGATTCGCCCTCAATCTACAAAGCTTTTGCAAACTTTTCAAACGAATGCGCGCGGCGCTAAGGCGAACACCACATTTTGAAAACGACCCGCCCTCCATCTGTTAAGCGGTTGCAAATTCTAAGCTTTAGAATAGAAATTCGATTCAGCTTTTGTTATAAATCATTGCATTTGCAAGTGCGCTGAAAGCGGCAACCATGAGCAAGCCTGGGCGCCGAGGCGGGACTCACTCTCGCATTGGAAAACTCAGATCACCTGTAGGAGGGAGCCCACGGGCCAACCGAGAGAGGGACTCCCTGCCTTTAGCCGCGGGCCGCTTACACGCCTGACCCAACTTGCGCGGCTGCTCAAACCCAGAACTTCCACATGAGGACCAACGCAACACGCCGCGCAACACGCGCGAACCATGCACCTCCCCGAAGAGAGGACGGTCCGCTGGCTCACGCCATTCCTGGGTGTCGGCGGCGACCGGAGGCGGGTGGGGCAGCTCACCTCGCGGCTCGTCGCGAGGCACCCGCGCGCCTCGGGCCTGCGCGAACTCTGACAGGGGCACTCAGCCACGAAACCAACACTGAGAGAGCTGCCCCTTCTTGTAACAGGGGCGAGAACGACGAGTGGACTTAAGCAAAATTCGCTTCTCGACACAATCATAACCTGCGACCAACAATCGCCGCCGTCGTGCCTCGAGAGCGGTTGCTCCCGACCGCTTCCGTGCCGACGTTAGACTTTTCGAGTTGGCAACATCGCGTTTAAAAAGACGGAAGCCTTCATGCTGGATGGCCAGAAAGCGGAGCAGCACTCCATCTCGCAGCTCATCGGCCGCGCGAACAGTCTCCCGAAACTTAGGCCCAAGTTGCCCCCCGCGGGCCCCTTCTCGAGCACGACGGTCGGCAGCGCCATTCAGAAGGAGCTCGATCGAAGAAAGCTGCATGCAATCTATCTGTGCCTGGGAGTGGTGAACTTTCGCCCGGCGGAGATCAACCTACCCTTGGCGGGTCTGGAGGCGGCCCCGAATATGAGCCCATATATGCAGCGCGCTGCTTTTGCGCATCGCAGTAACCCCAGGCAACTTCCGGCAATCTTTAACCGCTGGCAGGTAATCTGAAAACACCAGCACGTCCCCTTCGATACTGGCCAACAAGACCCACGGCGAGTACACTTCAGACCGAGGAGAGCTCTGACACGTGGCAGGAAGGGTTCTCAAAATGCAGCCAGCCAACCCCCCCCTCGTTGACGTGCAGCATAACCACGCCCCATCCACATCTCCGTAGCCTCCAATCTATAGTATCGTTCCCTCCGGATCCATCGATCGCCCAGACGCGCCCGCGGATCGGACGGGCCCCTTTCAACGGCTCCAAAGACCTATTGGGAGGCCACATGGGGCAGGGAGAGCACTGGAACTCGATCGAGAGACATCAGTCCCCGGAGCCAGAGAGGGGTAAGTAGGAGCATTCCGCGACTGCAATCGGGGACGAGCTATCTGCGGCCTGAACGGCCGGGCTCTCCAGCTCGCGGTTCGCCGCGCGCTGCCAGGCGCGGTGAACGGGCGACTCTGGCTGGAGCCCACGGCGCGGGCATAAAGAGCTAGCCGCATAGCCGGCCTCGAACGAGCGGGCCTCCGCCCAACATCCAGCTATCAGAGCATTGCGGAGAACAGCCCGGGACAAATAATCCATATGACGCCCGCCCAGGTAGCGGCCAGAAGCCGCCCCCCGAGCCCATTGGGGGCACGTGGCCGGCAAAGACTTCCACCGGTAGAACCGAACCGAATATCACGGGCCTCGACATGGAAATGGAAATCAAACTCATCATACCACTCAGAAGGGGAAGTCGGAGTCCAGCCGGGACCGAAAAGCAGCGCCACCGTCGCGATCGCAGGCCCGTGCGCTCGTCGCCAGCGACATGTGGTAAGCATGCGAAGGAAAACATCGACAAGCGCCACCCGCAAATTTGTCGCACGCGTTCTGTCCTTGGGGCAGAGGCCCTTCTGAAGCTCCGAGAACCCAGGGAGGCGTTCGCGGCGCAGGCGAAATTCAGAGTCTTCCTTCGCTGCAAACCAGGGACAACACCGCGGTGGAGCAAGCTCCACGAGCCCACCAGCCCGAACATTGGACCGCCTGCCCCCTAACCATCTAACCATCTGCAGCTGGCGGGGGGGGGCCAACCAACTGGCGCCCCGGGGCCCCGCGGCCAAGGCCACTGGCACATGAAGTCTCGGCGCCCGCTGGCAGATCCGAGACAGACTCGCGACCGCGCGGGCTCGCGTCCGAGCCCCCTGCCTGCGCCGACGCACCAGCCGCGGCGCGGGGCCCCGGGCCCCGAGTCTCGGAGCGAAGTTAAATCGGCACGCCCGCAGCCTGCAGGCTAGCGGCCAACTGGCCCCCCACTGACTGGCAAGAACAGACTGAACCACTGTTGTCGTTGATCTTCAAGCCGAGCATGTTGACCTTATGGCCGAACCGATCAGCGGCGGGAAGAACGCGGGACAGGACCTCGCGCTCGCCCCCAACCACGTTCAGAGAGACGTCGTCGACATATGCAGGCGCGCGCGAGGGCCCTGGATAAGTCCCCATCGAGACAAGAGTGACTGCCCTCCATCCAAGGCCTCATAGACACACATTTCTACCCAGGGCATGATTTGCGCACAACCAAAAGACCCCCCACCCTGACTTCAGCATCCTGGACACGGCCCCTTCCGCTTCAAAAATTCGGGGGGGGGGGGGGGGCGGGCGTGAACCAGCGGCCCCCGGCGCAGAAGATGGGGCGGGCAGTCCGCGCCCATGGCTGGGCGGTTCAACCGCCAAGGGCTGGCCGCATCAAAGAACGAATCAGATCCCAATAGGGCGCAACAGAGCGCGAACCCTCGGGGGCCGTCAGCTCGCGCAGCAGCTCCCGCATCAGGGTGGCCCTCAGGGCCGAGGGGCCTCGCGCAGCCGCGTCCCCGAACCCCGCGCGAGGCGAGGTCCACCTGTCTATGTCACCCCTCATCTTCGCGCGCAAGCGATGGAGAGTAGGGCATTCGCAGACGGGCCGCCCATCGAACTCCGACTTCGGGAGGAAGGCAACCCGCCGGAGCAGCACTCGGCGGCCTAACCGCCCTCTGCTCGCGCAACTGATGCGAAGGGGCAAGCGCGTCTAGCGCCCTGGGCGGAAGCGGCCGCGGTTGCAGAAAAACGCCGACGGGCCTGAATATCACATGCTCCAATGCAGGGATGGTCCAGGGCCGAGCCGAGAGCAGCAGATCGGAGGTCAGACGCGGCGTCGCCCGGCCCCAATCTTTCGACGTCCGAGATGTCCCAGAGCCCCCCGCGCACGCGCGCAACTTACATCGGCAAACCATCATCTCCGCAGCCGTCTGTTTGACATACCCAGGAGGCAGCCGCGGCTTTAGAATCCGTCTTAAGCCAGGGCCGCGCCCCTCCGCCCCGCGCGGGGTCGACCGAATATGCAAGTCCCTGGGGCTTCGACGCCTCGAATCTGACCGCCGCAAGGCGATCGGCCGCCTCCGGACCAGCCAGCGAACCATGGGTGACCCGATCGACTCACCAAGGGGCCGGCTGAGCAGCAGGCAGCGCCGCGGAGACCTCGCCAACCCGAGGAACGAAGTCCACGGCGATGCCGCTCGAGCGGCGCCCGGCGGAGTTGGGGCGGCGCAGCAGGGCCCGCAACTCGAACGGCTTCGCGGGCACAGTGGGCCAGATGGCAAACGCTTCTTTCCGATGCGAGGTCCCCAACTTCCCGCGATGAGCAATGGCGGCGGAAATAAGACGCGCGGCCCCACCCATGCAACTCCCGAGGAACAGCGGCCGCGCGAGCGCGGGGGGCGGACGCGTTGTCGGCAGCGTGGGGCCAGAGATGCCGCGCAGACACCTGCCCATTCAAGTGCTGCAAAGCATGGGGAACCAGATTGGCCATCTGAACTGGGCACTCTCTAAGGACCACGTCGCCGTGACCCATCGCCCGAATCAGACGCCGCCCCGAGGGGGGGGCAGGACCAAGGCAAATGGGCATTCCCCGAGGCAGACGGCGTTTACAGAGCGCCCGAAGCATAACCTCACGGGCAAGGGAGATGCCCAGTCACCGACGCGATTCGAGAGGAGACGGCTCATGCAACCCAACTTGCACGAAGGGGGCCAAATCCTGAGAGACCAACGCATGATCAATCATCATGCCCGAACCTTGGGAGCAGGCGAAATCCGCGCCGCACGGGGTCGCGACTCGGACGCACAGCGACTGGTGATGCCCCGGCAACCACATCGCGCCCGCTTCGATGTTGCAATCTCCCATGAGCAGCTTCGGGAGCCCAGTGCCCGAACAAACCCGGCGACGCCCCGCGAGTTGGACAAATCTTTACACGCGACCCCCAGGCACGAGGCAAACTAACAAATGCCAGCGGCTACCAGCATTGCGACCTCGCCCGCACGGGCGAGAACCGTTAACAAAAACAACTCCAGCGAGCGACCGTGCCCGCCCGCCCGCGAGCCCCGCCCCCCCCCCCCCCTCCCCAGCGGGGTTGCCTGCCTGCAGATGGGCCCCCCCTGGCCCATGGCAGCGCGCTTCCTCTGTGGCCTTCTGGGGCGCAGGCGCCTGCAAGCGATGCTCACAGAAGAGAAAGGCATCAGCGTACAATCGAAGCTCCGACGCAAAATCCTTCGCGATCATGGGCCAGGACGTGAGGTTGCAGTGGGCCAACTCAACTCCAATCGATCGCTTCCGTTCCTGCTCAATACGCGCAGGTGGAACAGGCGCAGCCGGCTGCGGCGGGACGTCGAAGGCGCGGCTGGACTCTAAGCACTGGCGCCGCTGCGTCCTGCTTGAGCGAGTCATGGAACTGCATGCTGATCTGCCCCTTCGCCACCCTGAGCCTCTTAGCTGACTTGGCCTTTGCAATCCCAGCCGATGGGGCCTCGAGGCGTAGGCGGTCCCCAGGAGACATCACCTGAGCCTGGCCACGCTTCCGAAGGGCCCGAAGTTCTTTTATCTCCTGCAGCGCCACTGCCAACGTCACTCCCAGTATCGCCACCAGCTTGTTGAAGTGTAGCGCGCATCGGAAGCCTCCCGCAACACACGCGGCACGCGGTTGGCACGGGCCCGCCCCGCAATGGCCTCGGGCGCCATGGCCGCAAAGCCAGGCCAACCCCCCCCATGGACTGGTAAGCGTCATCACCAGAAGCTGGAGCGGGACCACCTCCGCCAGCCACGGGCGCCTGCGGCGCGGCACCTTGCCACGGAGCTCCGCGACCTGGGGCAGCGCCGCCGTCTGCTGGAAGAGAGCGCCCCGGCGTGGCATCGGCGGGGGGCGCCGCCCGCCGGTCGCGCTGGCGCACTGCCTCCGCCCCGCAGAAAGCCTGCCGCGTGTGGCCCTTTCCACTGCTCAGGGCAGAGGGCCTGCGTCCTGGTCAACAGCACGCTGTGCAGCCTGGGCGGCGGTCTACACCTCCTCAGCCTCCAGCAGCGCATCCGTAGCTTCATCAAGCTGTTGGCGCATCTTCTGCGCCTTGGTGCGTTTTTTGCTTGACCTCTTGGCGGGCAGGCTGAACTTGACGAACAGCATCCTCCGAAATCTTGGCCAAGCTGGTCCTCTCAAAACTGGCCGCCATGTCCACCTGCGCGGCGGACATTGCTGCCACGGGCGGCGCAGGACTGCGCAGCGAGCTCACCGAGGCCCTCGCGCACCTCAGGCTGGCACGCCAACAACTTGGCGGCAGCAGCTCGTCGCTCTTCATTTAGACCATCATCAAGGCCTACCAGCCTCAGAAGGGACACTTGCGTCAAGGTAGGCACTACCACACTTTGAGCACGCCACATGCTCACGACTCGCGTACTCCCAATGTTGACAGGCCGCACGCGCATATTGTACGGCTTCCTTTTGCGTTTATGATTGCGCCATCCCTGGTCGCCTCGTTCAGGCTTGAGTACCCAGCTGTCTTCTTGCCCATAGTAGCTGCCAGGGCGCCTGTAAGCAGAGCGCCAAAGAAAAACGCCAGGAACCATGACCACGGGCGACGGCGACATGCAGGAACCTTGCACAACAGTGGAGCCTTGTGCTCCAGAATTCGAAAGAGTGCTACGGAAGCCGCAAAGCTAATCGCTGATTCTCAGGCGTACATAGTCTTTCACGGCGTTTAGCCTTGACCCAAAAGGCTGCGGGTAGGAGGGAGAGGAAGAGGAGGAGGAGGAGGAGGAGGAGGAGGAGGGGAGAGGAGGAGGAGGATGACGGCGACGACGGGGAGAAGGACGAAGAGGCGGAGGAGGCGGCCAAGAGGGGGAGGAAGAGAAAGGGGGGAGGAGGAGTTGGGAGGAGAGAGGAGGGTAGAGGACGAGAAGGAGGAGGACAAGAGAGGACGCGCGGGCGGCCCAAGCTCGCGTCCACGACGTCTGGGGAGCTGACAAGGAGGATGAACACCAGCCACACGTAGGCGAAGAGGGAGAAAGCCGCCGTCAGGTAGAACACCGGGATCTCCTCGGCGCGCGGGGCAAAGCCGGGGGATGGGCCTACGGGACTACTGCAGGCGGCACAGGACCATCGAGGAAACTAACAACGAAGGACAAGTAGGAGGAGGGGATGTGATGGAGTTGGAGTTGTTGTTGCTGTTGGAGGAGGAGGAGGAGGAGGAGGAGGAGGAGGAGGAGGAGGAGGAGGAGGAGGAGGAGGAGGACCCGAGGCTTCGATGACCCCGCCGAAGGCAGATACGAGGGAGGCCACGAAATAATGACAGGGCGGCAACCCTCAGCCACTCTGGGTGCCACTGTTCACGGGGACGCCCGTCCGCAGGTGGCGCGCTTGGCCCTCAGATCTCCTCAGGCCGTTGCGTGGAGGAGGGGGAGGAAGAGGAGGAGGAGGAGGAGGAGGAGGAGGAGGAGGAGGAGGAGACGGAGGAGGAGAAGGAGGAGGAGGAGGAGGAGGAGGAGGTGGAGGTGGAGGTGGAGGTGGAGGAGGAGGAGGAGGAGGAGGAGGCGCGACGAGCCTCATCCTATCTCCTATCTCATCCATCCCTCCCTCCTGCTAATGCTGTTGCTGCTCCTCCTCCCCCTCCGTCTTACGTCGGCCAGACTTCCGACCGAATCGGCTGCAGCCTATAAGTCAACGGCATACATGCAGCAACGCACCGTACAACAATATGCTGCTGCCTGATAGATCAGACAGCCCAGCAACAGAACAGAAGAGGAGCCCACAGGGAACGTCAAATTGCGGTGAGCATTGTGATCAGAACTGGGCAAGCCGGTCATATCTGGCTATGGTAGTACTCACCAGGGAGAGCCGAAAATAGGAGCGAACATTCCTGCCAACAACAACAGCAACCGTTGTAGACAAAGTCTCGAGTGCGATTGAAAAAAGAGGAGGCGGGGGAGGACGGGGGAGGAGGGGGAGGAGGAGGACGAGGAGGCAGAGGGGAGGAAATGGCAGAAGGGGGGGGGGGGGGAGGGGAATGAGGGGGAGGAGGGGAGGACGAGGGGGACGGGGGGAGGATGAGGGGGAGAGGAAGATGCTGAGGAGGAGGAGGAGGAGGAAGAGGATAGGCGGAGGAGGAGAGGAGGAGGAGGAGGAGGGAGGAGGAGAGGAGGAAGGAGGAGGAGGAGGAGGAGGAGCGAGGGGAGGCTTAGCGAATCGAAAGGGCAGCGTCGGGGGCAGGGCAGGGGGGGAGAGGGGGGGAGAGGGGCGGACCAACGAATCCAGTTTGGGGGTGGCGCACGCTGCGGACCGCGTGCGCGTGGATGTAATCCGCGGCAGGGTCCGCCAAGTGCTGCCCCCGACCCTCGAGGGTCCTGTGGGGGGAGGCTTTCAAGCGTGCTTGGGCCATGCCAGGCCGCCGAAGGCCTCCGGAGGACTCCGGGGGCCAGGGCCCAGGGATGGAGCAAAACTGACTGGTAGGGTGTGCGGACCACTCTTCCTCGTCATTCTCCTCTTCTTTTTCCTCCTCCTCCTCCTCCTCCTCCTCCTCCGCCCTGGAAGGGGGGAGGAGAGAGGGGAATGTCCAGCTAGGTGCGCTCGCGCCATATATGACGTTCCATCCCTCCCTCCCATCCTGTCCCATTGCGCAGATGTTTCTTTATCCGCCGACGCGTGTCGTAGCCGACCTGGAACTGCACAAAAGACCCCGTCGAGTTATGCGCAGTCGGAAAAGGTAAACTGATGGGACCTGCGCGACCTGCGCGACCTGCGGCCTGTCGGGCCTGCGAGACCTGCGACTCCTATGGGACCTGTGGGAACTGTGGGGCCTGTGAGACCCGCGAGACCCGTTGAACCCGTGGCGCCAGCAGGACCTGCGGGACCTGTGAGATCTGCGGGACCTGTCAGACCTACTGGACTTGCGGGGCATGCGAGACCTGCGGGACTTCTGCGACCTGTGGGACCTGTCAGACCGGTGGGACCTGTGGGGCGACCTGCGACACCTGTGGGTCCTCGTGGACCTGTTGTGCCTGCAAGACCTGTTGTATCCAGAAGAGCGGCCCACGCTTGGGCGAGAGCGCTAGTCTGAACCACGGGCGGGAGCACGGCGCCGATCCGAAACTGGGGCCTACTCTGCAGCGAGAGCACCATGCTTGAAACATGATGGACCCACGAACCCGGAAAGGGATATAGACATGTGGGGCATGGACACGTTTTCACGATACCCAACTGGGCAACACCTCACGAAACATCCCACGAGACACTTCACGAAACATCCCACGAGACACCTCACGAAACATTCCACGAGACACCTCACGAAACATTCCACGAGACACCCCGCGAAACATTCCACGAGACACCCCACGAAACATTCCACGACGACAGGCAACCACTCAACCAAGGCGGTGTGGTCGTGCTGGGGAGTGGTCGTGCTGGGGTGTGGTCGTGCTGGGGGGTGGTCGTGCTGGGGGGTGGTCGTGCTGGGGGGGTGGTCGTGCTGGGGGTGGTCGTGCTGGGGGTGGTCGTGCTGGGGCGTGGTCGTGCTGGGGCGTGGTCGTGCTGGGGCGTGGTCGTGCTGGGGTGTGGTCGTGCTGTGGTGAGGTCGTGCTGGGGTGTGGTCGTGCTGGGGTGTGGTCTTGCTGGGGTGGGGTCGTGCTGGGGTGGGGTCCTGCTGGGGTGTGGTCGTGCTGGGGTGTGGTCGTGCTGGGGTGGGGTCGTGCTTGGGTGGGGTCGTGCTGGGGTGTGGTCGTTCTGGGGTGTGGTCGTGCTGGGGTGTGGTCGTGCTAGGGTGGGGTCGTGCTGGGGTGGGGTCGTGCTGGGGTGTGGTCGTGCTGGGGTGTGGTCGTGCTGGGGTGTGGTCGTGCTGGGGCGTGGTCGTGCTGGGGTGGGGTCGTGCTGGGGTGGGGTCGTGCTGGGGTGTGGTCGTGCTGGGGTGGTCCGCACCCTGTGATTTATCGATCGGGTCGTGCTGGGGTGTGGTCGTGCTGGTGCTGGGGTGTGTCGTGCTGGGGTGTGGTCGTGCTGGGGTGTGGTCGTGCTGGGGTGTGGTCGTGCTGGGGTGTGGTCGTGCTGGGGCGTGGTCGTGCTGGGCGTGGTCGTGCTGGGGTGTGGTCATGCTGGGGGTGTGGTCGTGCTGAGGTGTCCCGCACCCTGTGATTTATCGATCGGGATTTCAAAAACAAGCGTTTCGCCTGAGACATCCTCAAAATTTAATTCGCCGGCCTCCTTCGACCTCGATATTTATCAGGGAAAAAATTCGCCGGCCTCCTTCAAGTTGGGCACCGGGGACATGTTTACATACTAAAAGAGAACCCTGGGCCCGCGCCCTTTCCGGGAAAAACGTACAGCATCGGATGGCAAACAAAAAGACACATGAAGGGCAAGTTCGCGCAGATCGTGTGCGTAAGAAACAGGACGCGGAGGGATCGAACTCAGCAAACACGCAAGAAAAGCTCGCTCGCGCGAAACACGCGTGGACAACAAAACGGACACGGAGGGGGGGGCGGCCGCTCTCCGAACGTGTTCGGAGGAGCAAGGAGAGCAGTGCTCGTATGGTGTCATTGTGAAGGGCTGCGGCTCCTCCTCCTCCTCCTCCTCCTCCTCCTCCTCCTCCTCACGCCGTCGCGGTGTGCGCCGTCGGCACGCTCGGCTGGAAGCCCGACGGCTCCGGCGTGCTCCTGGCCCTCGCGGCGCTCCTCCTGCTCCGAGCCATCTCCCAGGAGGAGGAGGAGGAGGAGGAGGAGGAGGAGGAGGAAGGACGAGGAGGACGAGGAGGACGAGGAGGAGGAGGAGGAGGAGGAGGAGGAGGAGGAGGAGGAGGAGGAGGAGAGGAGGAGGGGCAGCTGCGGCTCGCCGGAGCGGCGCGGGCCGGTGCAGCGGGCGGGCTGGCCCGACCTCGCCCCCCCGAAGGGGGTCGTGTCTCTGGCCGTGGACGTCGGGATCCCCCCCCGCCCCTACCACTCCCGTCTCCTTCTTCTGCGTCGGGCACGATGAGGTATGGCCTGGGATCGTAGCGTTCGCCTATCCTCCTCCTCCTCCTCCTCCTCCTCCTCCTCCCTCCTCCTCCTCCTCCTCCCCTCCTCCTCCTCCTCCTCCTCCTCCTCCTCCTCCTCCTCCTCCTCCTCCTCCTCCTCCTCCTCCTCCTCCTCCTCCTCCTCCTCCTCCTCCTCCTCCTCCTCCTCCTCCTCCTCCTCCTCCGCTCCCCTCCCCTCCCCTCCCCTCCCCTCCCCTCCACTCCCCTCCACTCCACTCCACTCCACTCCACTCCCTCCTTCTCTCCATCCCTCCCTCCATCCACCAGGCGTCAGGATTGCAAGCGCGCCCGTCCTTGATCTTCCTGCCTTCATCGTCCTCCGTGCTGGGGATGACGGCAATGCAGACCTCGCGCAGGAGAGGGGAGACTGAGGGGGAAGGTTTTGGGTCTGCTTACTACCTTGCGACAGAAAAGTGAGGCGTGGGGTACGACGGGGGGAAAGCTGTGCAATGGTTCGCTCGCCCTTCCGCGTAAACCTGAGGTCTCCAGCGGTTTCTGGAGCTCTCCAGACGTCTCCAGAGGCCGTTAGGGTCCTCCAGCGGCCTCTGGGTGCCCCAGATAAGGCAAAACACAACAAGCCTGAGGGATCCACGAAACAGGTGAGGAGTTTGAGTCAATTGTCTTCTGGCACGCGTGCTACACTTTCCCTTCCCTGGAGTGCCACCTCTACCTCCTGCCCTTCCTCCTTCTCATCATCCTCACCATCATCTGCACCAACACCAACACCAACACCATCACCTTCACCAGCACCAGCACCAGCACCAGCACCAGCACCATCATGGTCATCATCATCATCATCATCATCATCATCATCATCATCATCATCATCATCATCCTCATCCTCATCCTCATCCTCATCCTCATCCTCATCACCATCACCATCACCATCACCATCATCATCATCAGCAGCATCATGATGGTGATCATCATTCATCACCATCAACAGCATCATCCATCATCAGCATCAGCATAAGCATCATCATCATCAGCATCATCACCATCATCATCATCATCATCATCATCATCATCATCACCATCACCATCACCATCACCATCATCATCATCATCATCATCATCATCATCATCAGCAGCATCATGATGATGATCATCATCCATCATCATCAACAGCATCATCCATCATCAGCATCAACATAAGCATCATCATCATCAGCAGCATCATCAGCATCAGCATCATCATCACCATCATCAGCATAAGCATCATCATCATCATCATCATCATCATCATCATCATCATCATCACCATCATCATCATCAGCATCATCACCATCAGCATCATCATCATCATCAGCAGCAGCAGCACCATCACCATCATCAGCATCATCATAAAAATCCGCCGACCCCTTGGGTCATCGGCGTGTGAGGTGCTTCCCCCTCCCCAAACCCCTCCCCCGGGAACCCGGTCCGGTCGATTTGGAGGGGGGGGGGGGCCCACGACGAGCGACTCACGACGCTCTTCCGGGCCCAGAAGGGCCCAAATACGGGCCAAGAAGGCCCCAAGAGGCCTCCCAGACGTTCTAAGAGGCCCCCAGACGCCCCAAGAGACCGCCTAGACGCCCTAAGAAGCGCCCGCGAGGCCCCAAGAGGCTTCCAAGACGCCCCACGAGGGCTCCAAGACGCCCGAAGAGACCTCCAAGACGCCCCAAGAGACCTCCAAGAGGCCCTCGCGGAGCGCCCCAAAACGCCAAAACCGTTGATTTTCATTAGTTTTTTTTCGATGTTTTCGTCATGCTCGCCTTTTCGGCCTTCCGACGCTCCAAGACAGCCCAAGAAGCTCCCAAGACTGCTCCAAGACGGCACAAGAGGCCTCCACGACGCCCCCAAGACGGCCCACGAGAGCCCCCAGACGGCCCAAGAGCCGCCCAAGGCGGCCCAAGAGAGCCCCCAGACGGCCCAAGAGCCGCCCAAGACGGCCCAAGAACCTCCCAGAGATGGGCCCAAGAGGGGCTCCAAAGAGAGACCACGCACCGGAAAACCCAGCCGTACGCCCCAAGAGGCCCCCAGGAGGCTCCAAGAGGCCCCAAAGAGGCCCCAAGAACCCCCCAAGAGGCCCCCAAGACGTTCCAAGAGGCGCCCAAGAAGCCACAAAGAGGCCCCAAAACGGCCCCAAGAGCCTTCGACACTGCTCAAAGAGCCCCGCAAGAAACCCCCCCGCAAGATCCCAACGGACATCTCCGAACACACCGGTTTTTCGAGTCGCGCCCAGCCCCATAACCCGGAGCCTCATCTCCGTGTCCCCCTCCTCCTCCTCTTCCTCCTCCTCCTACACTTCCTCCTCGTCCCCCATCCTCCTCTTCCTGCCCCGCTTCAGCTCATCCTCACCGATGCTTCTCCCCCCCATTTTCCGCCTCACCCCCCATCCTCCTCTTCCCGTCCTCCCTTTTCTGCCAAGCGCGCGCAACCGATTGGGCATCATTTGCATGTCTTGCACTTCAGGGTGCCCTTCTTTGCGTCGCGCGGGACATTGTGCGGGTCGGGGAACGCCGACTTTGGTAGTCCTCTCTTGCACGCGCCGTTGCACTGATAAGCCTGGCAACTGCGCGCTGTGAGCCCGAGTTCCTCGCAGCTTCTGCACACCACTTTAGCTCCTTTCGCCGCTCGATGATATTCCACTTGCTTCTGCTTCAAATGTTTCGTGTCCGAGAACGCGCCTTTGCGCGCCGCGCACGTCAGCGGCTTCGCGTCCGCCTCTGCTTTCCGCTTGCGATTCTCTGCATCCGCCTTCTCGTTCCGCCCACCCTTCTTGTTGCGGGCGCACGCCCTGCAAAACCTCTCCCCCGCATGTGTCGAGTCGTACTGGTTCGCCGCCACTTCCGCCTCCGTCTTCAAGAAATCCTTGCACTTCGCGCACCGAATCTTGAATTTCACCTGAACCTTCTCCTGCCACGCCGCCGACTCCTTCCGTGACTTCCGCGCCGTCGCGGGCCCCGCGCATCTTTCGCACTTGCTCGCCCTGACGTACACTCGCCTTCCGCGAGCCTCGTCCTCTGGCGCCCTCGGCCCCAACGCGGCCCACGTCTTGCATTCGGTGCACCACTTTTCGCCCGCTTCCTTCAACTCATCCGCGCACTCGCGACAAAAACGCGGCCCGTCCTTTTCCCTGAACTCTGTCAGCGTGAAACCCGCTTTCTCCTTCAAGGTGCTACATCTACTGCACATCTTACGGGGCATCAGCTTCGCTTCTATTTCCGCCCACGGCACCTCCTCCCCGCGTAACTTGCCCAGCAGATGTTTCGCCCCTTCCATCTATCCTTGCGTATGCGGCTTCATCTCAAACGGGCGATATATCAGCCAACCTCCACGAGTCTTCACGCGGGTGATTGCCACGTAACTCGCCATCCAACTCACATTTCGACCCTCCTGCAAATCTGCTATGACAGCGTCTAGGGATCGGCCCTGCGCCGCGTGCGCCGTGCTTGCCAGGCCCGGCGATATCAGAAACTGCTTCCGCCGAACACCTAACACAGGCTTCTTACGGTACGCGTCCAAGAACCAGACCCGTTGTTTCGGTACGATCGGATACAAGCCCGGCCCCGGCATGCTCTTCAGCGTCCACGCGTCCGTATGAAAGTCGAGCACGATCTGCCTCGGCATCCTTCGAAGCGTGACTTCTGCCGCGTCCGCGACGGCACCCTCGTCCTCGTCGACAACCCACGAGTGAATCGTCGCGTGACACCCGCGGAGCAGCTGTTTCTCACCCCGATCCAAATTATCTGTCAAAACCACGGGCATGCCCGCCGCCAGCGGCAGCCACCCAGGCATATCTGCGCACGCTTTATCATGGTATCCCAGCCACCGAACCTTGTCCGCAGACGTGTACGGCCGTCTTTGGAGGGCTCCATGACGCGCCACGTCTCTCGCGTACACCCACGAAATTTGCTTCCCCTCGCTCGCGGCCCAGTCCACGGCACGCTGGCGCGCGACTTTGCATTTCACACCCTGATTCGGGTAAATCGCTGTCGCCTTCACGAACTCCGGCAAAAAAACGTTCGTCATCGGGCCCCGTCGCGACCAACTGCCGTCTACGCCGCTCTGCTTTACAAAGATCGCACTCCTGCGTGTTGTCTCTTGCGATGGCCTCTGCGTTCTTCGCGCAGTGCTCGGAACCGCACGTTGGCCCACGCCCCGCCCGCGACCCGGCTACGTCCGTCGGTCGCCCGCGCAGAAACTGGCGCGTCCGTTCGCTCGAGGCCCCGCGCCGGAACTCGTCCTGAACACTCAAGAACCACTCGTCCTGACCTTCTAACCGCTTGCATTCCACTAGCTCGGTCATCCCTGCAACGGAACCGTGTCCCACACCCCAGAAAATGCAATGCCCATGGTCCTCCCCCGCGCTTGGCGCGCACTGCCTTGCCTGACGAACCCACGACGTCGGGATCGCGTTCAAAGGCGCGCCACCCGGCGGCTCCAGCTGGTAGAAATCTCCACAAAACAACACATTCACCCCTCCAAACGGCCTGCCCACCCCTTCAGCGTCAACTTTTCCCTAGCGCGCCGCCGACATGACCGACCGCAAATGCGCGCCCAACTCCGCGAGAAAGCTTGCACTTACCATGCTAATCTCATCGATGATTAACCACCGCCACTGTTGCATCCGCTTGGCAGCCTCCACCTTTTTCGCCCCGTCCGCCCCGCGCTTCTTAGAGTTGTCCGAACCGCTCGCAAAGGGCGCCACCCCAAAAGCCGCATGCAAGGTATGCCCGTCCAGCGCCGACGCGCTCGTGGCCTGTAGTGCCGCCACTTGAAAGTCCAGCCCGTGTCTCCACTTCATGATGCCCTCGAACACGTGCGTCCGCAAAGCGTCCACTACGTAGCTCTTGCCTGTTCCTGGCCCCCCGTGCAACATCCACAACAGAGGTTCCCCGCTTACCCGTGCTGAGTCGTCCTCCCCGCACTCCTCTATCATCCTGCTCGCGACTTTCCCGACCACTTCCCGCTGCTGCTCGTTAAGCTTCAGCGGACGCTCCTCCTCGGGTCCGCTGAGGCTCGCTCTCCATTTCCTCAGCTCCCGCGCGGTCCCAGCCGGCTCGGACACAATGCGCCCGTCTTCCCCTTCATATGCCGCCAGGGGGTCTCCACTCTCTTTCGTTTACGACGCCCTCGCCTCCGCTTCCCTACGCTTTAACTCCGCGTCCGGCACTTCCTCGCGACCGTCTGTTCGCGCCCACCCGCCCTCCGGCGAATCCCCGCCGCCGCCTGGAAGCCGCCTCCACACGCGCGCAGACAAAACCATGGCTTCCGCACTCTGTCGCCGAGCATCCGCCACTGCTTCAGTCGTCTCCCGCGCCTCGTCTTCCATGCGCGTGCCCCCTACATGTACCCGGCGCTTTGTTTCGTCGTCGATGTCATCGACATGCACGTCTTCGTCGCTGAAAAGGTCATCCTCGTGCTTCCAACCCGACTCCTCCCCCTCTGGCCGCATGTCAACCACGTTCGTGTAATTCTGCACGTACCGTTTCGCCTCTTCGCACGTCAGCCCCATCTAGCCACTCCCGTGCCACTACGCCCGCAGACCGGCCGTCCGCGCACCAGTTAGACGCGCGGGACACTGTGTCCACGGCCGACGTCTGCAACGTGAATGGGCGGAAGTACGCCATGAGTATCAACCCGTTCCTGTCTTCCTC